TCGTATCACTATACTGTAGATATCAGTGTGTGCAACGTACTCAATTTTTATTTAATACGTCAAAATAATATAATACTTAAGTGAACCTGAAATAAAGAAGATAGCAAAATGGTAATAAAATTCAGAGTCAAAATATTAATTTAAATAAGAACAAATTCAAATTCAAATTTTTATTTTTCTGTATATTATATGGACTTTTTTTGACGCAAAGGAAGTTCCTTACACAAGGATTAGGAAGTTGTTGATCGAATACCGGATACCGTATCATATTTTAAATCCTTCGCTCGCTGGGCATTTACTTTGAACATTAACAATAGCCTGTTTGTATCGTCAAGAATGCTTTTTCTCCACATTCATAAGACGATTACAAGCACAGTTAAGATATAGATGTATATGGTCTGTAAGCTACATTTATCGGTATTAAATATTTTCATGTAACAAAAATATTCAGAATTCTGATAGCAAAGTAAAACTGACAATTGAAGGAGAATTAAATATAATTTATTTTAAAATACGAAAAGTTGTCAAATGAGATTTAAAATATTTATATTGAGATTTAATATTGAAGAATATTATTTAATTAATATTGAGAATATTGAGATTTTCACAATAAAATTTATATTAATACATGTAATAGGCGTGCACGTTTGCATGAATAAATTATTACTCAATTATTTGAAAATCATGAATAATTGTTGCTATCGTTTTTTTACTTTGAGCACCAATGTCTGATCAATAATGTTGTATTATGCCATTCTGAATATTTTGAATAATTTGCTTTTTACTTTTCAGTAATTGCTGTTATCAACGATACGGCTTTCTATACGATTGACTAGACTGTAATATCAAAAACTAAAACCAAAAGTGTAAGTAAATTGCATGTGTTTTTTACTTGTTCAAAGAATAAAGAATTATGGTCGTTGAAGCTTTAATTTCTTTGTTGTACAATGAATCAATTCCTCGTCAGCTGATGAATTTGTTACTATATTACTATAGGGAAAGTAGATAAAGATGGATGTTACTCTGCATTTAAGCTTAATCATACGCTTGATTAAATTTTCAGGTGATTAAATGAATGACTGAGAAGCAAATCAGTGTAGACGTCTGAATATGAAACGAGTGATAAATAACTTGTTTAAAATTGTGTTTATGATCAACTGAATGTTTTGACAATGAAATATTTCCTGAACTACAAACAAAAATTGAACTTCTCTGTATCTTTTAGACATTTACTTAAGTCTTTTTGGCACTCCAAA